CTCGAACCACACATAATTAAGGGCAAGGACAAACGTAAGATCCTGGCACACTCATCCAAAAGGTCGGATAGGCGGCCCCAGCATGAGTTTCGTTGGGAGGTCACCACCACCGACTCTTGAGTCAGAGAGACCATAAGACACAGACTCGCTCTAGAGTTTTATTCACCTCCCCCAGATCGTTTCATACAGTGCCCAGTGTCACGAAACACAACCAAGGCAGAATTAGTAGCCACGGCCATTTCCCATTTGGTAGAAATCAAGGCAATAGAGCCTGTACCACAGGAACAGGAAAGAGAGGGGTTTTACTCCATTCTGTTCGTGGTTCCCAAAGCCTCAGGGGCATGGAGGGCGATACTGGACTTAAAGGGTCTGAATTACTTCTTGACCTACAGAAGGTTCAAGATGCAGTCCCTAAAGTCCATTCTGGCCAGCATCAGGAAAGGGGACTTTCTCTCCTCCATAGATCTGACAGAGGCATACTTACACATTCCGATACTTCCAGACCACTGCAGGTTCCTTCGGTTTTGTTATGCACATCGGCATTACCAATACAGAGCCCTTCCCTTTGGCCTCTCTTCAGCCCCAAGGGTCTTCACAAAAGTTTTGGTAGTATTGGCGGCCCATCTCAGGATGATGCCAGTGCACGTACAGTGCTATCTAGATGATATCCTAGTGCAGTCCAGTTCCTTCCAGTTGGCTCAGTCAGACCTGGAAATCACGATACATACTCTTCAGGTTTACGGGTTCTCCATGGACTTCAAAAAGAGCCACATGATCCCCACAAAGCGCCTCCTTCATCTAGGGGCAATTATAGATTCAGATCTTTGCAAGGTTTATCTTTCACAGGAGCGTCGGGTCAGCATCCGAAAGCTCGTGCACCAGGTTCGGAGAGAGAAAACAGTGCCTCTGGTCCGGCTCTCTCAACTCCTGGGAAAGATGGTTTCTTGCATGGGGATCATTCCGTGGGTCAGACTTCACTCCAGAAGCCAGTGGTTCCTCCTTCCCTTCCAGAAACGGAACCTCAGTTCATCCACCAGAAAGGTCAGGGTTCCTCATCACACTCTGTTGTCTCTTCTATTGTGGGCTTCATCTGCAATGTTCAAGGGGACCGTTTTCAAGGAACCTCTCAGGCTCACCTTGACTACAGATGCCAGTCTGTTCGGTTGAGGTGCCCATCTTCAGACTCATCTTGCTCAGGGACAGTGGTCCCGATCGGATCTAGCCCACAACATAAATTGGCTCGAACTCAGAGCCATACACTTAGCTCTCCGTCGGTTTTCCTCCCTAGTGACGGGACAGCACGTCCTGATCCTGACAGACAACGTGGCAGCCAAGGCTCACGTCAAGAAACAGGGAGGGACCAGGTCCTGGTCACTCATGCAGGAGGCCTTGGAGTTGGGTCTGTGGACAGAGTCCACTCTGGGTTCCATCAGGGCGGAACACATATCGGGGGAAGCAAATTGACAAGCAGATTCCCTGAGCAGGGTCACAGTAGACCACTCAGAGTGGCGACTGGACCCGGAACTGTTCAGGGAAATCTCTGCCAGGTTTGGCCATCCACATCTGGATCTCTTTGCCTCCCCGATCAACGCCCAACTCTCCAGGTTCTTCTCCAGTTTCCAACAAGGGTGGAGGGGACGGACGCCCTCCGGTGCAAGTGGCCAGGGGGGGCTGCTCTATGCCTTTCCTCCCCTCCTGTTGTTACAGGCAACCATTCACAAACTGATTCAGGAAAGGGCAGAGATAATCTTAATTGCTCCACATTGGCCAAGGTGTCCGTGGTTTGCAGACCTTGTGGATCTATCGCTCTTGCCACCATGCAGGATTCCCCCGGACCGAGTGGCTCTCAGCCAGGGGAATCTTCAGCATCCAGATCCACAGTGGCTCCAGTTGGCCTCCTGGCACTTGAGCGGGAAAGTTTAGCTAGGCAATCCTATTCGTCCGGCGTGATCTCGATAATCCATGCCTCAAGGCACCCCTCGACTACTAGGATTTATGACGCCACGTGGAAGAACTTCTGCACGTGGTGCACTAAGCAGCAGCTCAGGCAATTATCGGTCACCATTCCCAACATTTTGGAATATCTTTTGGATGGTATGAATAAGGGTTTATCACCCAGTACCATCCGCAGACAGGTTGCGGCCTTGCAAACGGTCCTTACCTGTGACAACCTGGTTCCTTGCATCATCCGGCTGTAAGCGCCTTTCTCAAGGGGGCGGTTAACGCCAGACTACCTGTGATCCATCGTTATCCCTCTTGGGACTTACCCAGGGTGTTACAAGCCCTGACTTCTCCGCCGTTTGAGCCCCTCAGGTCTTGGTTCACTTCATTTTCTTTCCTTAAAAGTAGCATTCTTGGTGGCTATCATATCGGCCAGACGGATTTCGGAATTGGCTGCACTCTCAGTTCGGAGTGATTTGTCTATCTTTTTTGAGGATAGGGTGGTCCTTCGTTTGGACCCTTCCTTTGTCCCAAAGGTTAACATTTGGTTTCATAGGTCACAGGAACTAGTTCCTCCAGATTTTTGTCCTAATCCGTCACATCATCTGGAGAGACAATGGCATAAGTTGGACGTGCGCAGGGCTCTGCGTCATTATGGTAAGCGGACCTCGGCCTTTCGTAAATCAGAGGCCTTGTTCGTGTCTTTTCAGCCCTCTGCCATGGGTCAGAAGGTATCCTCTTCGACCATTGGTAGATGGATCAGGGCATGTATTGCTCGGGCCTATCTTTCTTAGTCACTTCCAGTTCCTAGGCATATCACCGCTCACTCGACACGCAGCGCAGCTGCGTCTGCGGCCTGGTCCACTCAGGCATCGGTCGAGATTTGTAGGGCAGTGACCTGGTCCTCCCTTTCTTCTTTTGTGAAACATTACAAGATTGATAAGTTTGCTGCGGTGGATGCCTCGTTTGGTAGGAGAGTTCTACAGCTAGTAGTTTCTTTTCAGGGGACACAAGCCTAGACTTTTCCCTCCCCGTAGGGACATGAAGGGCTTTGGTATGTCCCACCGTGGATTCTACATTCATCATGCTGGAGAAGGGGCGTTGTCTTACCTGAACACCTTTTCTCAGCATGATGATGTAGAATCCACACCCTCCCTTAAGGCAGTCCAGGCAGGTGTCATGTTAATTGGAGCCATTGCATCAGACTTCGTCATGGATGCTTCGCCTCATCAATAACTGGAGGACACTCCCAGAGGGAGGCATGGCTAAAGTTCTGACTTAGTCTCATCTGAGCAAGAAGGCTGAGATTACCCAACGGTGGATTCTACATCATCATGCTGAGAAAAGGCGTTCAGGTAAGACAACGCCCCTTTTCATTGAGGGCCGCATCAGCATTATGTTTGCCTTTGGGGATGTGGGTGTGGCCTACTGGGTGGGTGTGGATGAAGTGGTTGTGGCCTACTGGGTGGGCATGGCCAGCTCTACATCGTTCGCGTCAAGAGTGCCTGTGGGGGCCTGTGCAGGAGTGGGACAGATCTGAGGATCTCTTGCAGAAGGGGGTGGGACTGGGGCAAGTGCCAAGGCATGGTCCATTTCTTCATTCCTTACAAAGGGTGACACCTCCCCAGCATGCACCCAAGGGGTGGGCTGACGCGGCAGGGGCTGGTTCCTCGCTGTTTCTAGATGGCCTTGTGAGCTAAGACTGATGCGTTTTAGCATAGATAGCCACCACAAAATTGTACATTGGCTCCCGGCCGGCCAGGGCCAAGGCAGCGGGGGTCGTTCCCTCACTGTTTCCAGGATGGCTTTGCGGGCCACATGAAACCACTTTGTGGGCCGCATCCGGCCCCCGAGCCTGGTGTTTGACATGTCTGTAATATACAGTAATTCTGTACTGACAATGAAAAGTCCTTTAAAGAGTCTCTGAATGAGAGTCTTTCTGAAAATTCAGAATAGACTTATGGTTCCTGCGAGAAGATAGGATAAAACAGAAATGCAATAGGGAAAGATTGCCCTAAGAATTGTTTTTTGCTTTTCCTAATAGTATACAGAAGATTGTTGGCTTTTTCAATTAATTCATTGTTATTTTATTAAGGTTATGGCTTTCTACAAAATAACTTTGTTATATACTACAGATCTATTCAAGCAACAGTTATCAATTGTGATGAGAGAAAAAAAGATGAAACATGTATCTCAATTTATCACAGCCCATCCTTTCATCAGATACAAATACAGAAGGCATCGAGTCATTATGTCACAATGCATTTAATTCCTCCCTACCCACCCCATGCCAGAGGTCTGTGTATTAGCTTCTTCTATTATCTTGGTGGTGGTACAGTAGTTAGAATGCAATATTGCAGGTTAACTCTGCCCACTGCCAGGAGTTTGATCCTGACGGGGCTCAAGGTTGACTCAGCCTTCCATCCTTCTGAAGTTGGTAAAATAAGGATCCAGATTGTTGGGGGCAATGTGCTAACATTATAAACTGCTTAGATAGTGCTGTAAAGTACTGTGAAGCAATATATAAGTTTAAGTGCTATTGCTATCTTTTATTCTATTACCACAAATGTCATACATCCAAACATCACTAATGCATTGTTGAAGTTTGCAAGTACTATATTTTCAGAGCAATGTGAACGTCACTTTTTATAACCTGTACCAAGTTACATTTGTACTGTGCAGAAAATGACTTAAAGAGTTGCAAAAAGCATGAAGCGGTTTCATTGGGGACATAACCTGAATCAAAATGTTCACTCCAATTCAGATTAAATGCAGAGTATGTTGAGGTGGAAGGTTGTATGCCCCTTACTATATTTTTAAAAAGATTTTAGTACCTGAGCTTTACTATACTGATAAATTTTATTGGAATGGAGTCTTTATAGAATTTTAAGTTTTTTCCCCTGCAACTATAGTTCTATTGCTGTACAGTATTTTGCACTTATACCTTACTTGAAAATTATATCAGAATATATGTTTGGTGTTTATTATCACCTGCAACAAAAGTTAGGATAGCCAGGTCCCAATATAAAAGAAGATCTCTTATGTCTATTCTTTCCTAGCCACGAATACACATGCCTAAAGATGGATTCCAACTTACATCTTCTGGATACCAAGCATGGCTAAAGCAGGTTGGACTGTATTACTGTTTCTTATTTATGGTTAGAATTTGCACTAGAAACATGTGCTTGTTTCATTATTAAAATATATACAGAATTTAACTCTTATTCTGTAATCAAATACCAGTGCTATTTCTATATTCACGTGCATTTTGTGTCTGCATGCTGTGTACATTTCCACTTCTCATGAGTAAAAGTTCAAACAAGGATCATCAGAAGGGAGAGTGGAACAATACCTAGAAAGATGGGAAACAACAACTTAAATTGCCGAATTAAAATTAACCTTCAAGTGTGAAGATCTACAGTGGTGGTAATAACAGGGAGGGCAATGGGTTAATACACAGGAGACTTACATCTAGAGCCTAATTCAGATTTGATTGGGTAAAACAAGTGTGGACATTTGCTCATATCCCATAACAATCCTGCAGTTTGACACAATCTGACACTATTGGGAGTCCCTGCTCAGACGTAGTCTAGTGCTATATTACTTTGGTGATTATTAAAGGCCAAGCTTTAGATGTTTCGGCACTCTGGCTCTAGCAATTGCTGTCAGCATCTTAAAACAAATCTAGTATAACAATTCTCCCCAAAGAATCCTGTTTTAAACTTTGCATGTGTGACACATGCATGCTTGTGGTAGTAATTTTTGTGGGAAAATGCAGTAGAGATGAAAAGTTAACACCTTTGTTGAAAGTAGGAATTATGTCATGGTATTGAAAAAGTAAATGAAGATAAACTACATACTATGCTTATAGTTAGAGTAATGAACATTGTGCTGAAATAAATGTCTCTTTGGAGTTCTGATAGAGCAAACTACATTGAAAAATCCACTAAATAAGGGGTGTCAAACTCACAATGTCACATGACGTGTTGCGACGTATCATGACTTTTTTCCATTGCTGCCAATGGGGTGGGGGCGGTTTCAGCATGATACATCCAGCCCACAGGCGGGCAGTTTGACACCCCTGCATTAAATTAAGCAGGATATAAAATAAAATTAAACATACTTTTAAAAGAAAGGGTAGAATTTTGAATGTTTCAGTGATTTTTTATATTTTTATATGTGGCTGTAGAATCAGACTGAAGATCCAATTATTGAATGTGTAAAATCTGATGGAATGTTACGAAGAATTGCCAAGGGAATGTGAGATTTGCTCTTTCAAAAATAGAATCTAGTAATAATAAAATTTAAATGAAGTGTCCCAAAGATGCTTTTTCATGAGGCAACTGTAGTTTCTTGACTTTTCAAGAAAGTCCAGTTGCCTTGTGAAAAAGCACCTTTGGGATAACTATGACCTGGATGACTGAGAATCTCCATAGACATTTAAATGAAGTGTATATATACCTTACCTGAAAAGAGAGACAAACCTTCAAATTGAGCTCACTTCCTCATGAGTACATGGATACGTTCCTGCTATTTTCTTTGTAACAATAGAGGAAGTAGTTTACCACTGTGTTTCTCTGGAATATTTTCTCGGCATCCCAGTCTAGCATTCTCTAACTAACTCCTAGTCAAGAATTAACTAGGCTTGATTCTGTTTAACTTTCTCAACCGGTGCTGCTACCTGCTGAGCCATAGTGCACGTAATCATTATCTTATATGTTATAGTACAGAAGAAACAAATGTATTAATTCAATATGTTTTTATTCTATAACTAGGATAGAATAGCTAAGAGTTAATCATGTAATAATTTAGTCATGTTATTTCTTTTCAAGACTATTTTTGCATAAATCAGTAAGATCAGAAAAAGGTTTAAAACATGGAATATGAATTTGCCTGTTTAAATTAATCAGGTTAAATCATAGTTGAAGTCTTTATATTTCCTGACTTTATGATCATATTACTTGCCTAAGCTACATTTTTATAAGAGTAGGTGTCACTGAGTTTATCCATTCATCATTATACTCCAATAATGGTGATACTCCAATAACGCTTAACAGAAACTTTAATACATGGTTTACAGCTGAATATGTTATTTTTCCTATTCTTTTCAAAGTCTTTACCCTCTGAGTGAGTAATGGCAGTAACTCATGCACCTTTACCATGTATTAAATGCAGTATTTCTGGGGAGTTATTTTTATAGCTGGAGAAAAAGCAATATGCCAAGGATTCTACATCCTCATATTGATCCAAAATAAATGAGTAAATAAGGTTGAAATTATTTGCAGTATTTTATTTGCAGTGTGGATAGTTTTCCTTCTCTTTCAGGTATTTTTCAGCAATGACTGCTAGTGTTTCTAAAATAAATATGTTGCTTTTTCTTGTATACCTGTTCTTTGTCCCCTTCTTTAAATTGGCTTTGTTTTTTAAATTGTTATGTGGCAGAATATAATCAGCAGAATTGAATTATGATATGAAGAAAATATTAGAAAGAAAATGCTATTAAAAAGTAACATTGTAGCAAATCTTTTAGCTTTAGCAAAATCTTGGTTTATGTGCAAACTGTTTTCCAAATTATTTCTTTCACTGGCAGTAGTGTTTTCCCTTTGCATTACTTTCTATTGATCTAGTGTCTGATTTATACATTAAATATAAGTAGCTTAGTAAAAGTGATCTTATGACTAATTTATATTATAAATAAAAATGAAACAAAATGGATTCCTGCAAGGCTGGTCATGCAGTGAAATAGTAATAAAGCTGACCGTTTTATTGAAAAAATAATTGAATAGATTAAATAATTTTAGCAACCTAAATTCAGAATAACTGTTGAGCAGAAGCTGTGAAGGGTCAGTCATATTACTATTACTACTCTTGTAGGCTTTTACAGAGAGAGGTATACTAAAATGAAGAGTAGTTGTGACCGGTGAACAAATTTTGTCCTTTTGTTTTATGAGCATAAGCTTTGGAGAGAAATAGATGTCTATGCTTCTTTTTAAGATTTTGATCTTGACTTTTTCCTTCCAATGAATGCCTGGTCCATTGAGCAGTAACATTCCATCCTCAGCATGGTAATATATTTTTTTAACAGTAAAATTGTTATGCTTTTTCATAGTTTAAAAGATGCTTGCTTTTTCTTTGCCCAATCATTTAAAAATTTGATTATTGAGTTATGAAATGATAGGTTTCATTCAGACATGATAGCAAGCAATGAAATTCAACTATTGTTCATTTTAAATGTCTGAATGGACATGGACTACCAAATAGCAAATGTGACAATAGTTGGATGGGCAGAAAATATAAAAAAGAAAAAAAGGGTAAAAAGGAAGAAAAGAGGAGGAGGGGGAAAGAGAAAGTATATAAAAAAGGAAACAAAGCAAAACAAAAGAAACATAGAAAGAAATATCTTCCCCCTTCATAAAGACAAATAGAAATATTTTCACTAAATCAACATCTTTTCTAATATTTCAGTCAGTCTTCATCCCATATCTCCTGTTTTATCTGTTGGCAAATAATAAAATCTCATCTTCGAATTTTAAGCAGCAAAAGTCCATTAAGAGATTCCAGAGGGAAAAATATATGTATTTCATTCCTTTATATTATTTACTAAATTTATATCACCCCTCTTGCCTAGAGATGGCTGTACTTTATACAATATCTTGCCATTTTCTCCAAAAATACAAAGAAAAAAAATCTACTATATCTCATCTTGTATCTTTAAACAAATCTGTAAATTATTCAGATAAAAAAATCCATTAAAAACTACTAGAATCAATACATTAAAATAATCCCTTCAAATGATGTCCCACAAATTAATTTCTTCACTTCATCTTCTCTCAATTTTAAAATAATCAATCACTTTCTCTAAAAATACAGCAAAACTCTCTTCCTATATTTGTCTATAAACAAATCTTTAAAGTTTCATCATTCAGTTTTAGTCAAGAAAACACATTAAAAGCTGTTTAAAAAAGAGGATCATATATAGTTTAACCTTGATCAACTAAGCCAACTTCTTCGTTTTAGTTTTAAAAGTCTTAATTATTTCTTTTAAGTAACGTTGGAAAAGCTGATAGCTTCTCTCTTTTCTTTTTCTCAGGAAATAATATAGTGTATGTCTTTTGTAAATCCAAAGTAAAAAAAATTGTCCAGTTAAAATCCACATATCTAAGTCACTCTTCTGGTTTATTATTTGTTTACCTTTTAACTATTAAAACCTCAGTAGGTTTCATTTGTAGGTCTTGTATAACATATTTGTCAACATCATTCTTATATCATGTCAATTTTAAATCCATATCCTAAACAGCCTGATTCTCAGTTATATCAGCAGTAACTCTGGTCTCTCTTCCACTTTTAGAGGACTTTTAGAAAAGTCTAAAGCGAGTGTGACCAACCTTTGGCCCATGGGCCTCCTGCAGTTCTGGACAGCTAGTAATGCGGCCCTTTAAGTTCATACACTTTTAAAATTATAGTGATTTTTAGTGATATTTACATACCATAGTATATATTTTATATATGGCCCAAGACCATTCCTTTTCATTTAGTGCAGTCCAGACCATGTTGGATAGCCATGGTCTAAAGGACATTATTTTGGGTTCATTGTTGCCAAATATCCTTAAATTCTTCCAGAATTAATATATTTTCTTCATTCTGGGGAAGTAAGAATTCTCCTTTAATACAATCTTTTAAGCCTTTATGGCTGTCTCTAGTAACTAGCCTTCAAAATCTCATCATGTTTTGCTCTCATCTAAAACATTTTCCCAGGAAGTGATTTCTTACACTTAAATTCAAATCTTCATATATACTTAATATATTTTTAAACAAACTACAGGAAGTATTCTTATAACTTTTCCAAAATCTTGTTTCTAATCAATCTGGCCCCATAGTCCATTTAAAAACTTTCCAGAATCAACATTCTAGTCACCCTTTCACTGCTTATTTCTAAGTAACATTTTTCTTTAAGTTTGAAACTTATATAAATCTTCTTTTGCTGCGGGTTGGAAGAAAATCACCCATTGTAATAAAACTTGTCCTTCTGGAGGTTCTTAATGTCCAAAAAAGCAGGTTACATTTGCAGTTTCCAATAAAAGTGATGAAGAGGGGAATTGGGCTAACTCGGTGTCTTTTTGAAAGGCTCTGAACTGTGGTTTGGGCAAAGCTGTCTCTCCTGACTCCCAGAGCTCTAAAATCTTCTGAAGACCACCTATCACTGGGAGCATCTGTAAGAAGTACTTTGAGCAATCCAAGGTCCTCTCCTGTATCTGGGGAGAAACTTAGAGAGCTAGTTCCTTCACCTGCTCCACTTTCCACCATGATTGTCAGCTCCACTAAAAGTGAAGCCATCTTAGTCTGCCATTGCTTCCCTGGGGAGCGTCTCATATAATTTCCTGTAACTTTAAGTCTGTTCACTTGTACGCCATTGCACATCCTTTTCATCATTTATTCCTTCTTCCCATTCAAAACCTCTTCATTTATTCCACTCTTTACCCAGATAAATGCTGAGTATTTGCTTTCATCTATTGCCTGCTCTTGCTGTCACTCTGGGGAGGAAGGGTAATCTATCTTCATCCCTGTCTACCACACCAATCTTCTCAGTCACTATCAGATCACCCAAAGGACAAGTTCTACCCCCCCTCCCCAGTTCCTCCCTACTTACTCTATTTTCATCCAGGAGCATAGTTGGATGGATCTTTCATCCTTTGCCCTCCACAGCATTCTTCTACCTCTGCCCTGTTCTGCCATTTTCATTGCTGTAGTTCTCAGTCTGTATTCATTCCATTTTCTAAATCCCCCACAATATTACCTTCTGACTTTACGACACTTCCTCAATTATTCCCATCTTATTCTTCCTTTATCCTACAATCTTTCCCTTAATTATTTTCCTTTTCCTTTTAAAACTCCCAGGTTTACTGTTCTTTTTATTTCAACTCTTCCCAAATAATCCTGTATTTCGGTTTTCCTTCTACTTGTGTCTTTTGATCCTCTAACCACAGTGGCCTACCTTCTCTCTAGCACTTTCTTGATCTCCTTCAGGATTCCTTAATTTTTCCAAACATTCATTCTATTCTTCCATTCTTCCTCTTTCAAATCCTCCTACTACAACTAACAATCTTCTCTCCCTGTTTTGATTTTAATTATTCCCATTTATATCTCCTTTTGTCTTTGTATGCATGAGTGTGCTCAGTCTTTCTCAGTCCTCTTTTTTGGATCACAGCCTGGGATGCAAAGAGAGCGAATTTGGGCTTCCAGCTTCTTTTTCAGTTGTGACTTCTCAGATTACCATGATTCTGTGGAAGATATTCTCCTTTTCCACATGTTTGCAACCTTTGCTGCCCAACTTTTCCAACATAGCATAATTCAGTGGTCTCTGCATGTTATCCCTCCAGCTAGCAGATCAATTTTGTATCATCTGTTCCCTTTGTTTCCTCCATTTTTCTGTCATTTGCCCCCTTTAGCTAAGATTGTATCATTCTCTTTCACACTTAGTATTTGAAAGTATTTTTTATACTATTAGCCTTCAATCCCCAAATACTGGTTCTTAGTATCTAGCTAAAGCAATTTCCTTTCCTGTAGTGCCTGCTTAAAGTTGCCTATAAACTCCTTGGTGATAGGTTTTTCAGTGTAAACATCACTACACTTTTTTCAAGAAAAAAGAGAGGTAGTCCTAGTTTTGTGACTGCCATATTTGATGATTATTCACAGTTACGACTGCAATGAAGAAGTATGACCATTCCTCACATTTATGACTTTTGCAGGTCTGTAAAGCAAAGAAAAGCTAAAGTAAGACCATAAGCACAATTGCAGTTTTACTTAGTGACAGCTTCACTTAATAACTGAGTTGCCAATACTAGTTGTGGTAGCTAAAGGATCTACCTGTACATACTTCCCACAGGTCACCAAATCCACATTTTGCATTTGGAGATTTTTTTTTCTATCACTTATTAAAGACAATAAAACGGGCAGCTTTGTATTCCATTAAATGATGGGTGTGATTGTTGCATATTCCATGCACAACTTTGAGTGTGGTAGTATGTTACATTTTTAAAATACCTGTTTAGACAGACATGTCCATATAAGTCTCCAATGATATAGTAACTAGAGTAAAAATTAGGTTTTTTAGAATGTGTTATATAAGATTGCTTTTTTATATCTCTTTCCAATATTTTATCCAGTAGATGATATACTGTCATTTAGCAATTGCCGAACTAAGGGATTGTAATTTGGCTGAGACAATCTGGTAGGGCTAGAGTTTAGTTGTGTTTTTTAATTAGATATTGTGAGCGCTCACTGACTGTAAAAATAACTACAACTTTATGCTATCAGTTAAACAAGTATTATCAGAGGGATTAGTAAATGCAGTTGTAGTGAGTCAGCTGAAGAACTGGGTAAAAATCCACAATATATTTTGTGGTGAATAATTCCATAAAAGTTTATAACTACTTTTCCTTCTCTTTTTTTAAAGATATATTTCATAAGTAATGGGGACAATTTCACATGAAGCATGCTTGAGAAAGGCCTCAAGCCTGTTAGAAGGTAGAAAGAAACATGCTTCTTGGGCCTGTGCAAATTATTCAATGAAGTGTTTCTCAAAGCAGCTATTTGCAGGCTAAGCCCGTCTGCTTCGAGGCCCTTCTGAAATCTTTTGGGTGCATATGCGCATGCCTGGAAAATACTTCCACGGGGATAATTAGTTTAATCAGGGAAAAACACAGTACTAGGAAAAAAATGTCTACTTGAACTTCCTATCATTTCAGGCTAAAGTCTTATTTTTAAAAAACAAAACAAAAACCACACTAAACGCTGAGAACAATAACAATTCTCGAGGAGGCCTTAAGAGTAGTAACTATTCCCTTTATCTCACATTTGTTGTGTCCCCCCCCCACCCTCAGTTCTTGGATTTAGACTGCAAGCTTCTTTTGTGGGAGCCTCTTCTTGTTTTTGCTTATGAATTATTTAATTGATACTGTTTAAGAAGTAAAATATATTTGTTATTTATGTTAACCCTTCTTGAATATGTAATTTTTTCCACACATTTTCTTGATCCAATATTTTTAAAACCTATTAAAAGTAACACAATCCAGAGCTTTGTGATCAATTTGGCAGTTTAAAATGATAAATTTCAGAAAATCTGTTTGTAGCTCTTAAATATAATATGATCATAATTGATAATTCTGTAATGTATATTAGATTAAAGACCAAATTATTTACAGAATTCCTTGAAATCATACATGTCTTTTATTCCCCCCCCAATAATTTAAAATCTAAGGAATCATACATTAATTACAGAATTTTGTATAGTCTTCATTGAATTCTTTCTGACAAGTTTTATTTGTGCTATTTTCACATTTACTTACCTACTTATTAGGAGTTGTGCCCACAGTTTGCAAAAAAGTTATTGAATATTTTCCAAAAATTCCATAACAGACCACAGCATAGTGCAGATTTGTATATATTTATTGTAATTTGGTCTCTGAATTAGTGTAGGAATTTAGTTTACTTACATAATGGATAGCTTCTATATATAGCCAATAAATAAAAGTACTGTGACTCACTAGATTCTCCAATTCTAATATCCTTCTAACTTTTCTACCAGGATTGTGTCTCACAGGCCCAATTACTATGGTTTTACTCGTTCCAGAATTTGATGATAAGAGAAATTTTGCAAATTGTTATCACTTGTGCTGCTTTGTGAAACATTGGAAGAATTTGTTTGTGCTTTTATGTAGCTGATTGATGCACAGTTTTATTTTATCTTCCATTGGAATTCTAGTGAGGCAGAGGATGCCCTTAACAAGTGCTTGAAAGTTGCTTTAAATGAAATGATAGGAAATAACTGGAGCTGAATTCAAATAAGGTGGGCAGGGGTGCCTTTTAAGAACAGCACTTGCCTTGACAATTGATTCTGTGGGTTAAAGATATATCCACTGAAATGCATGCCAATGATTTCTAGATTGGATTAGTTAGATAATACACTATATTTAAATATTGTTCCTAAATTTCACTAGTTATGGAATGTGTTAAGAAAAATTCTGTGGAGAAAATATGTAATCTGTGTTATTCAGAACTGCATTGTTTTTACACTTGGAAGCCCTGAATAGTTCCAGTATTTATGGAAAGCGAGATTTTTCTCCAAATGTTTTGGTCAGGCTATAGCTTTTCTGTAAAATTCCTTATTATCATTTAACTGGATATGGAATGGCATCCTTGAAACAAAGTAACTGTTGTCTATCTGTGTATGAGTTTATGGAATCTATCATACAACTGGTAGTTTATAAAGTCATGATTCAAAACCCCACTGCTAAATTTATCTTTATGCTACTTTCTTTTCCATGCAGGGATTAAGGGATTTGTCAATCCTATTGGATTCAAAATTCTGGATGGATTCTAAAGCATGTTGTATGTACAAGAAATAACTGCAAAGAAATAGTTAAATAATGCCTTGGAATAAGGAAGTTTGGGTCCAATTTTGACTCCAGTGTTGGCTTGCTGGGTGACCTCCAGAAAAGCAATTAACCTTTGTCCTTCTATAAAGCCAAAAGCGGTTATAACAACAATACAGACACCCTGTTGTTACCACAGAGACCAGTATAGAATAAAAAGGAATTCTTTGTATGAACACTAGGTAGGACCATTTATTTTTCCTATGACAATTAAGCAGTGTTTATTTGAGCCCTTTAATAATTCCAGAATTCTTCCCTTTTCATTTTCAAATTAAAATATAATATGTCATATTTTCTGTTAAAATATGCCCATGTTGTAAACATAGCAAGAGGTAAAGGCTTAAAAAAGAGAAGAAACCCCATTGGATTATATAAATTTTATGGAGAATAGAAAGAGTTTGGGGACAACTATTATAATCTTATTGCTTATAATAACCTATAAGGACAAAGTAAAAGATGTGTCTTCCTAATTCTGGTGGATTTCCTATTTGGCAATACAATGGGTGCTTGTTATTTAGTTTAATTCAGAATGTATTGGCTTTTTAGTCCACAAAGATTTTTTTCCTCTTTGTGCATTCATATATTATGCACTTGATTACTAGTTTCGCTACCAAAGGATCCTCTACTTTTGTTTGCCATATATAATACTAGATGTTTCCTTTGAGAAAGGCATAATCTGAACATTTAAGTTAGAACAATGTAGGCTATGAAATGCTTTTTGTTAGATGTTGTGTCTTCTCTCTGCCTTTGGAAAATGAGTTAAGCAGACTCACCTTTTTCATCCCAATCCTTGAAATTATTTACGATTGTATCTACCTTTAGTGATCTTCATTGACTGTCAGTTTTCAGGGTATTGGTGTTGACTTTTAAGGCCCTAAATGGCTTGAAGCATATATTTTTGTTGGAGTGCAGAGTTGATTATAGTGGTGATCATAGGCAGTGCCTGGAGGCAGTAGTCTGAGTGAGGAGCTTAAAATTAATTGCTTTGGGAGGTATATTAAACATGGTGTCCAATCAGACTATATATTTGCTAAGAAGTTTGGCTCCTTTTGATGCTTTTGTTTCTTCTGTATTTTGTATTGCAATGTAATTTTATTATAGTTCAGACTTGTTGTATGATGTAAATTGATTATGATTATTAAATGAGAATGTTTACAAATGCAATAAAATCTTATTTTATATTTTAATAGCTGGCTTCATTTTATTTATATTAACCAAATTGAATGGAAAGTAAAGACATATATTTTCTCCTTCCTTCCTTCCTTCCTTCCTTCCCTTTATCTTTATCTTTCTAGTTTTCCAGTTTTAGGAGCTCTAATGATCAGATATATGGATTTTTTTAGCTGTTCCCCAAAGAAATCAGAGATCATACCTCCAACATTTAGCAACAAAATGATAATTTTTGAGCTCAATGTTTTTTTTTCCCTCAGAAAAATAAAGATGGGAATGGAGTTCAGAAAAATAAACTCAGTTTCTTGCAAAACAGTCCATTAATTTATATTTTAGGTATATTTTCCTCAGATTACATAGATAAAGTGATTTTAACCACTGCTTTTGTTTCTTTGTTATATTGGATTTAAATAGCAAACTTAGTTAACATTTACACTTATTGTATTGTTTCTTGTGATTGTCTCTAATCAGCAGTTTTTCATGTTCTTTATTTACTCTGTATTTAGTTGTTTTATTCAGCATGATAAATTCTCTAGAATAAAACACATTTATGGTTCCAATCCTAGATACACATTAAGAAGTGTATTTAGAATTGGAACCATAAATGTGTTTAATTATCTTTCAAATGAGCTGACACTACAGCTTTTATCATCCCCACAGCCATATGTTTGGTTGGAAAAATTGGGAACCTATGAGAAGGTTATATTGAAGATGTCTAAATGATATTTTGAGACATCTGGCACATAACAAATAGAAAAATCTAAAAGATTATTACTGATTTATTAAAATCATCTGACAGATCCCATAATGCAAATATTTTACAAGAGACAAGGGTCCAAATATAGTAAAATGGGAGTATTGGTTGCTTACGAAATACACCAATCGGCATAATGCTCTCAGATGCTCTCAAGCACTCTGAAAGACTCCTGGTTGTATTTCTTTGGTGCCTCAGGTAAACCTTGACTTATGACTGGTCACTTATGAAGAGCCCAAAATGAGTGTAATGTAATGCCCTTCTGGTCATCATAAAATGTGATGCCACACCTACCCATGGTCATGTGACCACATTTTACCTGCTTAGTCACTTGTCTTTATGACCAATTGCAACGTCCTATAGTCGTTACCATGATTTGGGACATTGTTTTCCAGTTTCTAGAATTTTTGCCAATTTCTGGCATAAAACACCCATTCAGAATAAGGGGTTCACACTTACGATGACAGCATTTCAGGAACAAATATTGCAGATTAGAAAGTAGAATTCCATATTAAATTTTAAGTGCTTTTATTAGCATTGAAATTCCTAAATAGCTTAGACCCTGCCTACCTAAAGGAACCTCTTCCTCTCTAAGTTGTGAACCTAAAGCTCTGATAGTTTTCTAAGGATTTTTTTTTTTTTTTTTTTTTGCAGGTGGTTTCCTGAATGGTGGAGGCCTGCTTGGAATCAGCTAGAGCAAGGCTTTTCTTGGGGCTTTTTCCCCTTTGTAATTCCCCTTAGAAATGTGGATTACTTCATCCCTGGCTTATTTTAATTCTTCTTGATTGAAAAAGAGTTAAAAAAATTATTTCTACATTCAGGCCTTCTATTCTAAGTATTTATTTTATAAATATATCTGAATTTTATGTAGTTTTTTCTTTTTCATACATGATATGTACTACAAAATCTATATAAATTGTATTCGGAAGTTTTGAGGCACTTTAGTGTTTCTTAGGATTTTATTTATAATGTCAAAATTATTTGTTAGATTCCCTAGACTGGTTTTTGGGAGCATGTTACAGGCAAATGTGATAGATAGATGTTCACCCACAGTTTACATTACATTTGCACTATTTCAGAGTTAGCTATCGTAGACTATTGATGAAAAATGTATTACAGCATGAACTTTGGTAATCTAAAGGCCACTTCATTAGTTTAATTATTATCTTCCCAGCCAATACCACTTAAAGAGGAAATAAGGATATAGAAAGAAACTGTTAGAGAACATAGGTTTTTAGGATAAATGTGGAAGAACTAAAGTGGGGATTAGTCTGAGAGGTAATTGTTTAGATAACTAACAGGAGAAAAGGCACTGTGGTAGGAATAAGAAATGTTCAGGCAGCTGAAGGAGATTTAACAATAAAGAGGCCAGACACAGGACACATACTGATACTCGAGGAAAATTAAAGAAATTAGTTTAGGATTTGGAAGTGAATAAAATGCCAGTATTTAGAATTAAGGAAGGACATTATGTGGACAGTATATGCATGTGATTTTGAAAGCAGAATGCTGGAGAAGGATGAATGAATGCAAAGGAAGATTAGAGAGTAAAATGTGCAGGGCATGGACCAATCTTTTTTTTTTTTTTTTAAAAAAATTACAGAATGAACTAAAAGGAATCGTAGAGAGAATGTTATAGAGGAAGAAGCATTTTCTGACTGATTCAGCAAGGACAGAGGGAACAGAAAAATCAAGGAGAAGACCAAAGATTTGTGCCTGTTGAGCTGTTTGGAGGACATAAGTAACAAGAAAGAATGAAGTGCAGAGATATCGGAAAGAAATGTGAGATGTTTGGAATTGAGTAGAGAGAGCACCAAGGAGTACTTAAGTCAAATATCAGAACACATTTGGAAAAGTAGATTAAATAGATGGAAAAAGTTCTAGGATAAAAAATGACATAACAACAACAACCACCACCCTATATCATTTCAGACAAATGGCTGTCCCTGAGCTACAAATATTCTCCTTTATTAGTATCTTAGTGTCATTTTGTACTCTAATGAAAATATTGTGATAACCAATTTATTTCTATTTTATTTCAAAGTGGAGAAAAGGAGGAGGCAATCTAAATTAGCAAGTAATCCATGGTGTCAACTAGCACACGTCATTTTTTCCCTCGGTTTATCTCAAATATTTTTGTGTACTTTTTGATTATTATATTTCCCTGTACTAACAAATTAATGAAGTAGAAAAAAGATCTGCAGGCAAGAAATTCTATTTTAGCCACTTTTATTAAGGATATATAATAGAATTAGAATAACAGAGTTGGAAGGGACTTTGGAGGTCTTCTAGTCCAATTGCCTGTTTAGTCAGGAAACCCTGTACCATTTCTCACAAAATGGTTGTCCAATCTCTTATTAAAAACTTCCAGTATTGGAGCATTCACAACTTCTGGAGGCAGGTTGTTCCACTGATTAATTGTTCTAACTGTCAGGAAATTTCTTCTTAGTTCTTGATTGCTTCTCTCTTTGATTAGTTTCCATCCATTGCTTCTTGTCCTGCCTTCAGGTACTTTGGTTACCTCTTCTTTGTGGTAACCCCTGAGATATTGGAACACTGCTATCATGCCTCCCCTGATCCTTCTCTTCATTAAACTAGACATACCCAATTCAAGCAACAATTCTTTATATGTTTTAGCCTTCAATCCTCTAATCATCTTTGTTGCTCTTCTCTGTACTCTTTCTAGAGTCTCAACATCTTTTTTACATCGTGGATGCAGTATTCCAAGTGTGGCCTTACCAAGGCATTATAAAACAGTATTAACACTTCACGCCACATGCTATATACATGCTGTATGAGCCCTTAGAACTCAGCAGAGAAAATAGAAGAAGAGGTTTATTAACAAAGGAGAAAGTCATTGGAATGTATGTCTATTGTAAGGTACATAGAGATCAATCTCTATAGGAATTCTGGTGGTGATGAGATAAAACTATGGATTGAAATGTTCCAGAGGCAAGGATTTTTTTAAAAATGAAAAAACAGGTTCTGTTCAGATTTACTACTCAGAATAAATGGCTGGGATCAGGACGGCTTTATATTAATGTTTTGGTATATAGTTGGTCTATTTGGGAGGATCCAGTAGACTGGATGGATCTGTCACAGACATGAAATCTACTCAACATTGAATCTAGACTCTAGAGCAGTGGTTCTCAACCTTCTTAATGCTGCGACCTTTTAATACAGTTCCTCATGTTGTGGTGACCCCCAACCATAAAATTATTTTCGTTGCTACTTCATAACTGTAATTTTGCTACTGTTATGAATCGTAATGTAAATATCTGATATGCAGGATGTATTTTCATTGTTACAAATTGAACATAATTAAAGCATAGTGATTAATCACAAAAACAATATGTAATTATATATTGTGAAATATTTATTTCTAATTACAAATAAATGAAATTTTGGCATTGTAGTCCAAGGACTTCAAGTCAGATTCCCTCTTCTTTTAAATATTCAAATGCATTGTGCAAAAAAAAAAAAATGGTAATCCTGTGAATTATGTTGAATTTTTATCATTTTTGATGCTGACATTTGATCGGAATTGCAAGTGAATGGTGGAGAATTGGGCCCCAAGCCTCTGTGAGGTAAGCTCATACCTGGCAAGGAAAGATGGACCCATATAAAACTTCCAAGGGGAAAGATGGCAATTAATTAGCCCTCACTCCAATTTAACTGACGAGGACCACCATAATTTCTTCACAGTCTGCCAATGCTCGCTACTCCAGCGTTTTGCATCCAAGCCAGAGAAGTTTTTTCCTCCAAGCAGGGAGAGGGAAGGATCTATTCTCAAGAGTTAAGCCTGAGCGGCAGAAACCCCGCATGCGGCTGCCCTTCATCCACGCTCCTTTCACTTCGGTGGGAGGAAAAGAGCTGAAGAACGCAAAGCGAGAGCCCAGCCCCTTTCCTTTCCTGCTCACGGCGTCCCTCCTTCCTGCCTGAACTCACACAACCGTCTTAACTTCAAGTGTCTCCGAAGAGAGTCAGCTCAAAGTTATAATTGATGGGTTGTTGTTCCTCTTCATCTTTTGTGTTTTGTACATAGTTTCACCTTCGGGACTTCCCCCCTGCTCCCGGGATTTGCTCATGGCGCCTTCACATCATGTATCGTCCCACACTTCCTTTTGTGCGGCACTCACGCCTAAGATCTCGGGAGGGACAGACCGGAAAGATGAGGGACACCCACTCATACAGCTTTTTTGCAGCTCCAGCAAAAGAATCTGGGGAAAGCAGCCCTGACGACAAAGTCCCTTCCACCACCACCTAATCCTCTTCTCGGACATCGCAGCCACGTGAAAAACCAGCAACCCCCCCCCGTCTCCCCAGGCCAAGGAGTGCAGGATGAAGCAAATTTTGGTTAAAATATGCCTTCCACGAGGAAACGCTTACCTTGAGATGCTTTTTCTATTGCCCCATCTATTAGCTTTTCTATGGGCATGGGAATATTGAGGGGAGACTCTCTGCTTTTCTACAGATACAATTTCACCGCACGATAAAAAAATGGTTAGAAATCCTATCAAGTCATGTGATTGATTGAATTATTTCCAACCCTCTTTTCCTCCTAAACTCCCCCCCCCATTTTAGACCAATACTCGACAGCTTTTTTTCCTTATGTCAGACAAAAATGGCTGATGACAGAGAGGAGGATCACGGCTTGGCTCTCCTCGCCACTACTGTGGCTGCAGAGGCTTCAGCCGTGAGGCGAATGCAGAGGTTGATTAGAGTCTGGTATCTCCCAGTCACGTCTTGAATGTAGGAGGATAACTCTTCCTGATTCATCCCTTCTCTTCCCTCTCCCTTTTCCTACTTCTCCAGGCTAGGAAAGTCTATAGTGTCTCGGTTCCTAAGACCATTGGAAATATGTATTTTCTGATGGTCTTAGGCGACCCCTGTGAAAGGTCGTTCGACCCCCAAAAGGGTCACGGTCCACAGGTTGAGAACCGCTGCTCTAGAGCATAGGAGCCTGTACAAGAGACTAAACTAGTATTAAAGTGGCAAAGAAGTGAAGGAAAATGAGAGTAGTAATTATTTTTTCTGACAACAATTTTATCAGTACAAATTCAATAGACATATTTTCCATTTTTGCATTAAAATTGGAACACAGATCATTTACTGAAAGTAAGATGATGAGTGGGATTTAAAAAAACCTAAGAATTTTTGTTTTTGAAAATTTGAAAAAGTTTTTTTAGTGTGGAACTGTTATAAAAAATATGTTGTTCCACAAAAGATGCTGAAATGAAGTCAGAGACAAAAGAGTTATCAAGGGCTATAGGACAAATACCAAGGAAGACAGGGAGAGACAACCTTTAGGGTGGGAGTGGCAATTTCAGACATAACTGAAAAAATATCTAGACATGGTGAACAAGATAGTATTTATAAAAAAGAAGATGGGTATAATCATAGAAATGGGACTTGATAGATCCTGTGATCTTTCAATGCCACTTGCCCAAGACCCCAAAGTAAAGAGGCTGATAATATTTTTATTTCACTAACAAATTTAGTATAAGCTTTCATAATCTGCATTTCATTTCATCAGATGAATAGTATGATAAAACCTTTTTTTAAAAATAAAAATGGTTGTTTGAAAAAAGTGCTACAGACTCCTGATATTTTTGGTATCAGATTAACATAGCTCTCCTACATTTCAGAGAGTGATCATATTTCAATCAGTCTTCTTCCATTCCTCATGCAAGATAATTGGATGCTAGAAACTACCTATTCCAGAGGCAGAGCAAATAGGATTTTTAGTTAAATTTGCACAAAACACCAAGCCAGATTTGCCTAAAACTGATTTATTCATGATGCTCCCATTGACCTTCATTTGATTCTTTCTGTAAACTTCCGTAGCTAAATTAATATAAAAATTTATTAGGGCAAATAACCTTTGCTTTCTCCAGCAGGATGGCTGTAGAGTCCAAATGGATGGGTTCTATGACGGCCTTCCTGCCTGGCAGACTGGGTAAAAACTTCGGCCACACCCCTTCCTTTGGGCGTGACCCCAGTTTTGACTCAGTCTCGAAGCCTGGTAGAAGTGCGAGAAGCAGCTCTTAGGAAAGAAGAGTTTTCACAAAGAAAAGAATATCCTCTTCCAGTTTTTTTTTTTTTTTCCTCCCCTTTTTGCAGCAGGCAGGGATCCCGGGCAGAGGAATAGAACACCGACGCCTCCCAGCCAGGATCGTCGGAGTGGTGAGAGGATCGCCAGGGCGGTTAGCCAGGGGGGCTCGGGCCGGTCAGTGGATCTTCCGCGGATCCCGCCAAACAGCTGTTTGGCGCGGGGACATTTCCCGGACCACCCGCCGGGCAGCTGAGTGGCACGGAGGCCACTCGGTCCGGCGGAGGAGCTGAGGCGCCGTTCAGCGCCAAACAGCTGAGCGGCGCGGGAAAACAGAGCGCTGATCAGCTGAGCGGCGCGAGAAGCGCAGCGCGCCCAAACCGACCGGCAGAGCCTCAGCGCCGTTTTTTCTCCCCCAGCGGAGAGGCACAGCCCCCTTAAGGACAAAAGAGCCATTCAAGCCGGTTAATTACCCTATTGCTGGCTATTAAAGACCCGCCATTGTTGGAGCCTCGTGGCTCATCCGGCTACTATTGGGAGGCGGGGCTTCCTCCCATTCGCCATTTTAAACAAGCAGTTTAGCCGCCGCTTTTTTCCTTTACATTAAGACACTTGGGCAAGAGGAAGGAAGAGGAATAAAAGATTAGAACCTCTATCAGTTCTGAGCGTGGTCTGCTACCACAGCCACAGACCGGGGGAGAGAGATATATAAACTGTACTTTTGTCTGGA